CTCCTGACACTATCAACAATCATGTGAAGACTTGTCGAGAAGAGCAGAAGAATCTACACTTCTTTGCACCAGAGTATGGAGGTGAGCCTTCCTACTTTCTCTGCCCTGTTCTCATCCCCCTGCTTTTGCACCTTATAACTTGAGGTACAGAGGCAATATAACTGAAACTTCTAGGCCTTCTCTACCAGCATACAAAATATTTTTTTCTTTTTTTTTCCTAAGGCATTCCTGCCAACCCTAGCCCCCAATCCTCTGATTAACCAAAGCCTTCTCGGTTTTTCCTAGAAGTCACTAATGTGACAACAGCAGTGGACATCTACTCCTTCGGCATGTGTGCACTGGAGGTGAGGAGACTGGAGAGGAGGGGGGCAAGGGGTCAAATGAGAAGATGGAAGGGGGAATGGAGGGAGGACAAGTAAGGCGCTGGCTTGGAAGGAGTGATTGTGTGAGCACTGACATTCTTAGGTGTCTCCTTTTTTTTTATTCCTCCTCACTGAAGATGGCAGTGCTGGAGATTCAGGGCAATGGAGAGTCCTCATATGTGCCACAGGAAGCCATCAGCAGTGCCATCCAGCTTCTAGAAGACCCATTACAGAGGGTAAGGATCTTCAGGATCACTCCCTCCTCAACTGACCTTCAAATGTCTTCTGGTTTTTCTTCCTTTGTACCCACTGGGCATATGCTCCTAAGATCTAGGGAACATAAAACAGAAAGGACACGCAAAATCTGTAAACATTTTCTTAGGAGGTGCCTACCATGTTTTTGCATACATACACATAGGTTAAGGGGTTAAGATGGATGATACTGGGGTTCAAAGTTGTGTGTTGGCTGGGCACAGTGGCTCACACCTGTAATCCCAGGACTTTGAGAGGCGGAGGCGGGCGGATCACTTGAGGTCAGGAGTTTGAGACCAGCTTGGCCAACGTGGTGAAACCCTGTCTCTACTAAAAATACAAAAACTAGCTGGGTGTGGTGGTGTGTGCCTATAGTCCCACCTACTTGGGAGGCTGAGGCAAGAGAAACGCTTGAACCTGGGAGGCGGAGGTTGCAGTAAGCCGATATTGGGCTACTGCACTCCAGTCTGGGCAACAGAACGAGACTGTCTCAAAAAAAAAAAAAGAAAGAAAAAAAATGTGTGTGAATTTAAATGTGCCTACATGGAGGTAAATTAATTTGATGGTTACTTCAGGCAATTGCTGTATATTCTCAGACAGCCATTTTTATGTTTTTAAGCACATCAGTCAATTTAAATTAAACCAGTTGTTTGGGATTTTATATTTATACAGTTTTAGTTAGGGATGGTGCCCTGAAATAATGAGCCAAGATTTAAAAGACATAAGGTTATGAATCAGTTGATAAGACTATAGTAAGTAGAGCTTGGACAGGAAAGTCCAAACAAGAACAGTTTGTAACTCGTTAAATAAGTATAATAGGGAACAGGAGAGAAAAGAAGACTAGTGGGAAGTCAGGAGGATAGTGTGGAGTAAGTTTCTACTTCAACACTGAGGTGGAGTATTCAAGTGAAAGATTAGGTATGTGACCTTGTTAGCCTTCAAGGTTAAAAGCAGGAAAGCAAGTTAATTGTCATGGGACGTGCAGGAGGTAGAAAAGGAGGCGGTGGAGCACGGTGGCTCATACTTTTAATCCCAGCATATTTGGAGGCTGAGGTGGGAGGATCACTCGAGCTCAGGAGTTCGAGACTAGCCTGGGCAACATAGCAAAAACCTATCTCTGTGAAAAAAATATAAAAATTAGCTGGGTGTGGTGGCACATGCCTGTGGTCCCAGCTACTCTGGAAGCTGAAGTGGGAGGATTGCTTGAGCCCAGGAGGTTGAAGCAGCAGTGAGCTGTGATTGTGCCACTATACTCCACCTGGGTGACACAGCAAGACCCTGTCTCAGGAAAAAGAGAGAGAGAGAGAAAAAAAAAAATAAGGCAGAATGGGTAGAGGAATCCTGGGAAATTGAGTGAATTCAATGATTGTGGGCAAAGGAAATTGTGATACTAGGCTTGTGAAATAAAAAAGATGGTGAATATTGATCACATTGGGTAAGTTTGGGAAGAGAGAAGCTAAATTTGGCAAGATTTAGAATAGAAGATAGGCAGTGAGTTGGCTAATAAAGCAGAGGTAGAAACTAAGGAAAAAGAAAGTGTGAACATTAAAGAAAAAAGAAAGCTTGTGGTTGGAGAGCAGAAAAATAATTAAACCCAGAAACCCAGAAAGGCAGTGGATGGTGTCTTTCATATAATATCTTATAGTTTTTGAAGCCCTTTCAGGTGCATTTGTCAATATATTGTTTTCTCAGCAAGTGCTGAGCCTCTACTATGTACAAAGCCTTGTGCTAAGTAGAATGAGAGTTATAAAGATGAACACATTGAGGGGCTTGCCAGATGCCTGCTCCAGTTCCTTGTTTTCTTTTCTAGGAATTCATTCAAAAGTGCCTGCAGTCTGAACCTGCTCGCAGACCAACAGCCAGAGAACTTCTGTTCCATCCAGCATTGTTTGAAGTGCCCTCGCTCAAACTCCTTGCTGCCCACTGCATTGTGGGACACCAACGTGAGTCCTCTTGGCCCTATGGGGAATAGTCTTCCAATCTGGAACCCTGTAACTATCACTGGCATGCTTGCTTTCCTCTTCTATTTCCAAGGGGATTCTTTTTTTTTTCTTTTTTTTTTTTGAGACAGAGTCTCACTCTGTCTCCCAGGCTGGAGTGCAATGGCTTGATCTTAGCTCATTGCAACTTCCAGCTCCCGGGGTCAAGCGGTTCTTGTGCCTCAGCCTCCCGAATAGCTGGGATTACAGGCATGTGCCACCATGCCTGCCTAATTTCTGTACTTTTAGTAGAGATGGAGTTTCGCCATGTTGGCCAGGCTGGTCTTGAACTCCTGGTGTCAAGTGATCTGTCCACCTCGGCTTCCCAAAGTGCTGGGATTACAGGCATGAGCCACTGCGCCAGGCCTCCAAAGGGATTCTTTACCCCTTTGCCTGCATACCTTCTATGACATTTAATCTGACTGTCCCTTCATAACATCCCACTCCATCCAGACATGATCCCAGAGAACGCTCTGGAGGAGATCACCAAAAACATGGATACCAGTGCTGTACTGGCTGAAATCCCTGCAGGACCAGGAAGAGAACCAGTTCAGACTTTGTGAGTAACTGAGAGGGTCTAAAAGGGGCAAATTGGTCACTACCACTCTTGAGGCTCTGTAAACTGCCCATTCTCTGGGAATGGTTGAATTTGCTATTTTGTTTGTTTCCTTCCTTCCATCTCCTTTCTCTTTTCTCCTCCAGGTACTCTCAGTCACCAGCTCTGGAATTAGATAAATTCCTTGAAGATGTCAGGTGAGAGCAGAGTGAGAAGGCAGGCTTTCTTGAGGAAGCAAGCAGGGTTGGGTATCCTAAGGCATTCACAGAGCCCATGTGACCTGTCTTCATCTTCCTCCAGGAATGGGATCTATCCTCTGACAGCCTTTGGGCTGCCTCGGCCCCAGCAGCCACAGCAGGAGGAGGTGACATCACCTGTTGTGCCTCCCTCTGTCAAGACTCCGACACCTGAACCAGCTGAGGTGGAGACTCGCAAGGTGGGGGCTGTGTGGGTGTGGATTGTCTCCATGGCTGTGGTGGAAGGGAGAGAGAACATCTCAAATAAGGCTCTATTCTTTAGAGAAAATACTCCCTAGCAGCCATGCCCTATGGGCTGGAAAGACATCTAGGTATTGGGTTTTTTATGGACAGGTCTCTAGAGTGACCCTCTCTTCCTTCCCTAGGTGGTGCTGATGCAGTGCAACATTGAGTCGGTGGAGGAGGGAGTCAAACACCATGTAAGGCTCAGGGCTAGGGTTGTGCAGGGCTGGTGGCCAGAGGGTAGGGAAGAAGAGTCTCATTTTCTGACTGTCCTATTCTCCAGCTGACGCTTCTGCTGAAGCTGGAGGACAAACTGAACCGGCACCTGAGCTGTGACCTGATGCCAAGTGAGTCTCTCCTTTCCCTCAGAGGATGGAGAGTCTATGAGCCTTATCTTTTAGGGACATATTCAGGGGTGGGAAAGGTGACAAGGCAGTAACACATTGACTCACATAGAATGACTTATCTTAGCCCCTAAAGCAGTGGGTGGATCTGACAGTTTAGCCCCGGTGGGGCTGTCTGAAGGGCCCTAGGTCCCTCAGTCCCATACTGTACTCACCCCCTCCTGTTTCTCTGTCAGATGAGAACATCCCCGAGTTGGCAGCTGAGCTGGTGCAGCTGGGCTTCATTAGTGAGGTGAGGTTTCTGCCTTCATCTGCCCTGGCTGCCCCCATGCCTTCTCTTCTCTCAGCCCCCATGTCACTGAGCTCTTCTTCCCCAGGCTGACCAAAGCCGGCTGACTTCTCTGCTAGAAGAGACCTTGAACAAGTTCAATTTTGCCAGGAACAGTACCCTCAACTCAGCCGCTGTCACCGTCTCCTCTTAGAGCTCACTCGAGCCAGGCCCTGATCTGCGCTGTGGCTGTCCCTGGACGTGCTGCAGCCCTCCTATCCCTTCCCCCCAGTCAGTATTACCCTGTGAAGCCCCTTCCTTCCTTTATTATTCAGGAGGGCTGGGGGGGCTCCCTGGTTCTGAGCATCATCCTCCCCCTCCCCTTTCTTCCTCCCCTCTGCACTTTGTTTACTTGTTTTGCACAGACGTGGGCCTGGGCCTTCTCAGCAGCCGCCTTCTAGTTGGGGGCTAGTCGCTGATCTGCCGGCTCCCGCCCAGCCTGTGTGGAAAGGAGGCCCACGGGCACTAGGGGAGCCGAATTCTACAATCCCGCTGGGGCGGCCGGGGCGGGAGAGAAAGGTGGTGCTGCAGTGGTGGCCCTGGGGGGCCATTCGATTCGCCTCAGTTGCTGCTGTAATAAAAGTCTACTTTTTGCTAAAAGCGTCGTGTGTTCGCGCCTTTCCCGCCAGGGGGAGCGGGCCCGGGGCGGAGGCGGGGCCCAGGTGGGAGGGGAACCCGGGACGGAGGCGGGGCCCAGGTTGGGGCGGGGCTGGGCCCAGGTAGAGCGGCCCAGCGGCCGGCGCGGCGGACGGGATGAGGCGCTGCAGTCTCTGCGCTTTCGGTAACTTCCGGGACCTGGCGTCTCGTCTCCTAACCTTGGGGCCACCCTTGGCCCGTCCTACTGCCCGCGGTTAACCCGCCAGGAGCCATCTCTCCCCACCCCGCCCGACTCAACCCTGCCCTCACCCGTGCTTTGCAGACGCCGCCCGGGGGCCCCGGCGGCTGATGCGCGTGGGCCTCGCGCTGATCCTGGTGGGCCACGTGAACCTGCTGCTGGGGGCCGTGCTGCACGGCACTGTCCTGCGGCACGTGGCCAATCCCCGCGGCGCTGTCACGCCAGAGTACACCACGGCCAATGTCATCTCCGTCGGCTCGGGGCTGCTGGTGAGCGCGGCAGGCGGCCCGGGGTGGGGGCCGGGCGCCCGGAGAGCCCAGCAAGCCAAAGGCTTTGTGTCTTCCACAGAGCGTTTCCGTGGGACTTGTGGCTCTCCTGGCGTCCAGGAACCTTCTTCGCCCTCCACTGGTGAGAAGGGACTTCCTGGAGCTTTTAACGAGTAGGCTTGAGTCAGGGAAATGGGGGCTGAGATTGGTCTGTCAATAGATTGGAGGAGCCTCAAATAGAGAAACTGGGTGTCTAGTCACTGGGAGTTAGCCAGGCCCAGGCTGCTCACCCTGATCTGTCCCTGCCAGCACTGGGCCCTGCTGGTACTAGCTCTGGTGAACCTGCTCTTGTCCGCTGCCTGCTCTCTGGGCCTCCTCCTTGCTGTGTCACTCACTGTGGCCAACGGTGGCCGCCGCCTTATTGCTGACTGCCACCCAGGACTGCTGGATCCTCTGGTACCACTGGATGAGGGGCCGGGACATACCGACTGCCCCTTTGACCCCACAAGAATCTATGTGAGCACATTCTCTTCCTTCTTGTGGTCTACAAAGCCTTGGTCCTGCCCTTTTAATTTCCCTTCTTTGCTGCACTTGCCCTACTCCCTCCTCCCCATCCTTGCTTTTCAGGATACAGCCTTGGCTCTCTGGATCCCTTCTTTGCTCATGTCTGCAGGGGAGGCTGCTCTATCTGGTTACTGCTGTGTGGCTGCACTCACTCTACGTGGAGTTGGGCCCTGCAGGAAGGAGGGACTTCAGGGGCAGGTAAGGAAGGTGAACAGGAAGGGTTTATTCCACAGAGATTGGCTGTGTTGAAAAGATGCTGACTGGCCAGGTGCAGTGGCTCACACCTGTAATCCCAGCACTTTGGGAGCCTGAGGCAGGCAGATCACTTGAGGTCAGGAGTTTGAGACCAGCCTGGCCAACGTGGTGAAACCTCATCTCTACTAAAAATACAAAAAATTAGTCAGGTGGGGTGGCGGGCACCTGTAATCCCAGCTATTTGGAAGGCTGAGGCAGGAGAATCGCTTGAACCCGGGAGGTGGAGGTTGCAGTGAGCCAAGATCGTGCCACTGCACTCCAGCCTGGGCAACAGAGCCAGGCTCCATCTCAAAAAAAAAAAAAAATGATGCTGACCTATCATTCAGGGCAAGGGTGTCTAACTCCACCTTTTTCTGCAGCTAGAGGAAATGATAGAGCTTGAATCTCCTAAACATAAAAGGCAGGAAAATGAGCAGCTACTGGATCAAAGTCAGGAAATCCAGGCATCACAGAGAAGTTGGGTTTAGGACAGGTAATGGGCCTTGAAGGTGGTGGCCTGGGTAAGAGTGGGGGCAGGGAAGTGCTCTTAGAACTGGGTCTAGGTCTTGCCATGCTGCTTTCCCCCTCTGACCTGGGTTGGTTCTCCCCTCTGTCCAGCAGGTGCTGTTCCAAGACTCAGTCCTAAAGGGTGTTTTTTTCCCACTAAGCAAGGGGCCCTGGCCTCGGGATGAGATAATAAATTGTAATAAAGTAACTTCTCTTTTCTTCTACTTGATTATGATTCCTTTTGGGGAAAAGGCACTGTGTGATGTTGGGAGTGACTTTGATCAAAGAATACAGTGGTCTCAGTTATTTATAAAATTTTAATGAGGGAGAGGCCCTAACTCTTCCTCAGCTCCACCAACTACTGAAAGGAAAAGCTGGTGCTGGGGAGCCCTCCACACCACTGACTGATGAATTTCAGCACGTCCTGGCACACTGGGCTGTGGGAGGTCTGTAAGCAAATGGAAGAACATGAGAGGAACTTGTTAATGCTGGAAATAGAAAATCAGCTCCATCGCAGGCTTCAGGGTCTGCACCTGCCTTCCTGCAATCCCACCCACCTTTCTAGTGTGTATGTGGGTTGTTTGTTTTGAGATGGAGTCTTGCTTTGTCATCCAGGCTGGAGTGCAGTGGCACGATCTCAGCTCACTGCAACCTCCACCTCCTGGGTTTAAGTGATTCTCCTGCCTCAGCCTCCTGAGTAGCTGGGATTATAGGTGCATGCCACCACGCCCAGCTAATTTTTGTATTTTTAGTAGAGACGAGGTTTGTAACCATGTTGGCCAGGGTGCTCAAACTCCTGACCTCAGGTGATCTGCCTGCCTTGGCCTCCTAAAGTGCTGGGATTACAAGTGTGAGCCACCACGCCTGGACTTGTTTTTTTTTCTTTTTTAGTGCTGCCCTCTCTGCTTTCATTCTTCAAGTCCCCCTCTCTAACCTTGATGGCCATAAGGAATTTATTCCAGTTGTCCTTGTTAGCAGCCTTCCCTGGCCGCTTAAATTCAATTTTGTTCCTCAGAATGGGGTATCCTGTGGAGGAAGAAAAAAATGGTGAACTGGGGTTTGAGAGAGATTGAGGACTGAAAAATGAGGAGCAGCCTGGGGGTAGAAAGCATGGTCCTGTCTTTTGTACCCTTTACTGAATCCTAGTAAAATTAAGTTTATTGATCCTGCTGCTTTCCACCCACCACAGGATCTGGGGTGCTGTAGGCTTCTATACCTGTAATAAGGCAGGGCAGGGCTTGAACCCCAGTGCTTGCTGCCACTAGAGAGGCCTCGTAGGCACCACGCTCATCCAGAGGCAGAACCTGCTCCAGCCGCTGGTCCATGGAGACTGTAAGCACCCAGTCTCGAACCTCTTCTCTCTCAGCCTCCTGGAAAGGACAAGAGGGAGTGGTAGCTTCACACAGGGCAGGGCAAGTTGGGGTAGATGGGTGAAGAGGGGGTTTGCTAAGCCCTCATCCTGTATACCAGCTTTCAGCCACAAATCCTCCTTGGATTGGGGGATATAGTCACAGCTTTTTCTTTCTACTTTGCTTCTACTTTCAGTGAAAGAGTAGTGAGGGCTGAGGTCCTTCCAAAGATGGCAGCACAAAGATGTTCTCCCTCCTCAAGGCACTTACACTGGTGAGGCCTTCCCATTTTCCAACCCTGTGCCCTTACCGGTACATGCTGCTTGGCTGGGAGTGGCACCTCAAAGGGAATGTCTGTATCCTGAAAATCAGAGTGGTCAAGGCCATCCAGAGTCCCCTCCTCGATTGCCTGCAGTAGAGTGGGCAACCATGAGCTAGGCACAGCTTGCGACCAGCAAAAACCCCCACCCTCGGGGCACAGCTTCCCTACGCACGTCGGTCAGGTCCAAAAAGCGATTGAGGAAGATGAATGCCATGTTCTCCCAGCCAACTGCCTGCAGCAGAGAAGAGTTGCAAATGGGAGTGAACAAGCTGGGCTTGAATGCTACTTCTCTGGGATCCAGTCCCAGCCATCTGGTCGCAGCAGAGAAGAGTTGCAATGGGAGGAACAGCTGGGCTTGAATGCTACTTCTCTGGATCCAGATGCAAATGGGAGGAATGTTGGTTTGAATGGGAGTGAACAAGCTGGGCTTGAATGCTACTTCTCTGGGATCCAGGGAGAAAAATCCAGGAAGACATAGGAGGACCACATCCTCCATAACATCAGCCCTACACTCAGCTTTCCTCTACCAGAGCAGAAAGGATATTCTATTTTCCAACTTTTGACTTCCTCCCATCTGCCCCACCCTTCCTTGTCCCAGCTCACCTTGGCAGCAATGCCTGCTTCATAGAAGGCTTTGTCTACAGGTAGTAGCTGGGTGTGACGCAAGAGTGAAACAGAAAGTCTGGCAGCCACAGTTTCCTGGGATTAAAGTCAAAGCATTATGAATATGGCACTAAAGTGACTGAGCTACCAGACCAATGATCCTGTAAGGCAGCCACAGAACTGAAAAACAACAATTATTATTAAGCTGCTCTGGATCTCAAGCTGTTCTGGTCTTAGGTTTGTTTTTTTTTTTTTCCTTTTCTTTTTTATTTTCTCTGAACAACAGACCTGGGCCTAAGTTCCATTCTTTTTTTTTTTTTTTTTTTTTTTAGGACAGTGTCTCACTCTGTCACCCAGGCTGGAGTGCAGTGGTGCCATCTCAGCTCATTGCAACCTCTGCCTCCCGGATTCAAGCAATTCTCGTGCCTCAGCCTCCTGAGTAGCTAGGACTACAAGCGCACACTAGCACACCTGGCTAATTTTTATATTTTTAGTAGAGATGGGGTTTCACCACGTTGGCCAGGCTGGTCTCGAACTCCTGGCCACAAGTGATCCACCCGCCTCGGCCTCCCAAAGTGCTGGGATTACAGGGGTGAGCCACCGTGCCCAGCCACCTAGATTATTTCTAAGGTTCTTTCCACTTGTAGAATTCTATTGTCCAAATACATTAAATAAATATACAGTGAACAATCACAAATAAGCCCAAAATATGTGTACATTATAAGAGGTGAATAAATAAATCATGGGGATTTGGATGTTTAAACATAATGAGGCTGAGGCTGTGTGGGCACAGAGCCCTAAGAAGGTCAGAAGAAGAAAACCTCAGCAAGGGCTAAAGATTTGTTTAGACAGAAGAGAAGCTGAAAGAGAGGTGGGGAGATTCAAGAGCCCAAGCTGAAGAATCCAGAATGTGAATCAATTCAGTTTTATACATTTGCAGATGAGCCCTTCTGACTGAGTGCTCCTCTGCCCTCCTACATCTCACCAGCTGTTTGACACTCTGGGCCGCAGAGCGCGTGGCATAGTAATGAGCAATCAGCAGCATCGTCTTGAACTCCTCGTGGGCTGGAGAGTTTGCCTCACTGGACTTCACCAGGTTTTCACACTAGAGGAGGGAGACAGCACAGCCTGGCTCAGGGATCAGAGGAGTGCCAGGGCCATAGAGTGGTCTCTGATGGCCACCTGGCAGAGGAAGGTAAAATACATCTGAGAATAAAGGTTTATGTGCATGAAAGAAGAGATGAGGACAAGGACAGACAGAGCAGCCCCTTCACTCCTGTCAACCCAACTTCCTCACCAGGTTGAAGAGGACATCTCGAAGATCAGCCCAGCTATGATAGGCCTCGGCACAGTTGGTTCCAGGAGAGCTCACCATGTCAGTGAAGATCCTTTTGTAGATATTGAAGTTCTAGAGGTAGAGGGGAGAAGGGCATCTGAGAAGGGCACAGCTAGAAGAGAAAGTCAGTGGGAGTGGGGCCAAAGGGAGGAGAAACAGGCTCTGTGTGTAGAAATGGGTATGTGTGTGTGTGCAAGAGCTGGGAGACAGTGGCAGATTATTAAGTGCTGATTATTTTTAATGAAATGAATTATTTTTAAGTGCTGATTATTTTTGATGAAAAGAGGAAGAAACTTTCTTAGCTGGTGCTGTGTGAGTGTGGGCAACTGTACAAATGTAAATGCAGAGTCACAACATTAATGGGCTGTGACTCTCAATCAGGCAGCAGTGTTCATTCTCTGGAGGAAGTCAGTAAAGGCCCTAGAGGTATGTGCAGGATTCAGCTCTGAAAAACAGGTGCCTGTGTATTTGCTAACAGCATGGGGAGCTCCATGGGTGTTTCTTCAAACAGAAGTTGAAAGTTTCTGCAAACTTCTCCCCTTGCTCTTAGCAAATACACAGCCTCCAGAGAGGCTGTACCTTTCTGGAGATGCATTGGGGGCTCTGGGCATGATGTTCTCTAAGGATAGAACCCTCTGAGAAGATAGTTCCTGAGAAAATAGGTGGTTCTAGAAGCAAAAAGAGTTTCCTTGTGGAAACATTCAATCCAAGGAGAAGGCTGGTACCTGTGGGTTAGCAGGGGCTCCGTGCTGTACATATAGGGCCAATGACTGGGCAGAGTTACCCTCCCGGATCAAGTGAGTTGCATACAAAGCCACGTACTTGTGCAGAATCTTGTAGTTCTGTACAGGGGTGGAGGAAAAGCATGCGTGAAGTTGGGATCAGCAAGACCAAGCAGTGAGGTGACTTGAGGCCATGTATTTGTTGAGGAGACAAAGGGCGTATGCAAACCTCTGACCCCAGTTTCAGATTGAGCTTATCTGATGCCCATTAGAAATCTTTGGGCTTTGGGTTCTTGTGGAGGTAGGAGAGATGCAGCTTTGAAGCAGGTGGGGAATCAAGGGAAAATGTAAAGGAAAACTGGGAATGGGAAGACAGCAGTACCTGCTTGGTAGCTGTTTCAATGCACTTGTCCCACTGGCCCTGCTCCACATACAGGTCCAAAGCAGCTATCACATCCACACCCACCAGCTGGGTCAATGGAAGACAGAGTTACAAGAGAAAAAAGATGACATGAGGGAAAGAAGAGGGAGAGAATTTTGTGAGTCTCTCCCTGCATTCTGCCTCCTGCTAATTCTGCAAGTCTCACCGAGTCCACTTTGCCCTGGTTCTTGAGGAACTCTTTATAATGCTGGTCCACATAGTCTTCGTACCTGTGAAGATGTTCAGAGAGCTTCATCTTCATATTCCAGAATACCAACCCTCCCCATAAGACTTTCTCCCAGTCTTTACAAAAGGAAGTAAAAGAGAATTTCCCGGTAAGAAGGGGTTACAAGCTTACCTGGGATCTAACTCCTTAGCTACACGCTTAGCCTTGTTCCACTCCTCACCCTCGATGAAAGCATCAATTGCTTCCTTGACAAGGTCCAGATTCAGATACAGCTCTGCAGCCTGCACAACGGGAAATCAGCATGGAGACTTTCTCCTCGCTCCCAGTCTTCCTGCTGTGAGCTCTCCCATCTGTTTCCCCAGGACTGCAAGCCTTGCCCACCAGGAGGCCCACTTCATACACCTTCCTGGGTGCAGATGTCACCCTTGCACCCATCTCTGTGAAATCTATTTCTGTTCCATCCCATCACCCTGCTTACTGCACTGTGCTTTCCAATTCCAATCAGCTGGGGTCCTACAGCCAGAACGACCTCCATATTACGTTGAGGAGGCAGAAACTTGATGGAGAGTTCGGCTGCCTGAGTGGTTGAAGAGAAGATGGAAATGGGTAGGAGAGACAAATACCGCTGAGTCCTCAGCCTGATCCATTTCATACATTTTTCTCCTCCAGATGCCAACTTTTTCTCTTACTCTCTCCTTCAACCTTGTACTCTCCTGGGCAGAGCCTGACCCACGGTCCATTAAATCCTTTAATTAGCCATCAGTGGACCTATCTTTCCTCTCAGTTCATTAACTCTTTCAGACACTTCCTGTGCTGCCTGAGGTCACTGCGTTTGAACCTTCCACCTTTGACAAAATCATTTTCAAGGTCTTTGTCATAAGTAAAATCTTTGTAGCAGAGTACAGAGAAAGGACTCCTAAAATGAGGAGTCCAGGGCATTCTGTAACTATTTGTGTTGGGCTTTTATGAGCTTTGGTTTCTTCATTCATACACACTGGATTTTGAAGACTTAGTATAAAAAAAGAATGGAAAACATCTAAATAATGTGTGTGAGTACATGTTGAAATGGTAGTATTTATTTAATTTTTTTGAGACAGAGTCTTGCTATGTCACCCAGGCTGGAGTGAAGTGGCATAATCTCAGCTCACTGCAACCTCTGCCTCCCAGGTTCAAGCAATTCTCTTGCCTCAGCCTCCTGAGTAGCTCGGATTACAGGCCCCGCCCCCTGCCACCATGCCCAGGTAAGTTTTGTATTTTTGGTAGAGACGGGGTTTCACCATGTTGGCCAGGCTGGTCTCAAACTCCTGACCTCAAGTGATCTGCCCGCCTTGGCCTCCCAAAGTTCTGGGATTACAGGCATGAACCACTGTGCCCAGACGAAATGGTGGTATTTTAGATATACTGTGTTAAACAAAATATATTACAATTATTTTCACGTTTCTTTTTACTCTTTTTAAACGTGGCTACTAGAAAATTTAAATGACATGTATGGCTTACATTTGTGGCCTGCATTATATTTCTAGTGCCAGTGCTGGAATAGATGATCTTGATGATACCTTTCAACACTTAAAACTCAGAAATTCTACAAAACCAAGTGTTCTATGAGATCATACTGTTTCCATTATGACGCTGACATCTTCACCAGATTTCAATTTCCACACAATCCAATTTAGCTGTAGTTTATGCTAATCCCCTCTGGTCTTTCCCTCACCTGTTCTTGCCTCCCTTTCTTACTGCTAAGCCCTTCAAAGCTTAATCTGCCCTGTCCGCATCAGGAAGCCATCTTCTGACTAATATGAAGAAGGTACAGTCATGCCGTGCTCCCAAGTTACACATATCAGATACTCAATACTGCCAATTAAAATCTGCTAGAACCTCAAAACCAATCATCAGCCCCTCTTTCTACTTCTCTCCCTCTAACTTCTAGGGGTTATTCAATTAAAGACCTCAAAAGGCCGGGCGCGGTGGCTCACGCCTGTAATTCCAGCACTTTGGGAGGCCGAGAAGGGTGGATCACGAGGTCAGGAGATTGAGACCATCCTGGCTAACACAGTGAAACCCCGTCTCTACTAAAAAAAATACAACAAAATCAGCTGGGTGTGGTGGCGGGTGCCTGTAGTCCCAGCTACTCAGGAGGCTGTGGCAGGAGTATGGCGTGAACCCGGGAGGCGGAGCTTGCAGTAAGCTGAGATCACACCATTGCACTACAGCCTGGGCGACAGAGCAAGACTCCGTCTCAACAAACAAACAAACAAACAAACAAAAACTCAAAAACCTAAGGGAAATTTTGCAGGGCCATCACCATACGAACATGTCATTTAGACGGCCAGTCAATTTCACCCTCTTCATGACCCCCACCCACCAGATTTCACTGTATCTAAGGTGCACTTAAACTATACGTGCATCCACCAACATGGCACATGTATACATATGTAACAAACCTGCATGTTGTGTACATGTACCCTAGAACTTAAAGTATAAAAAAAACTATATGTGCATCCCAATTTTAAAGATATTAAAATATAATTATATATATATGCCACTGTTAACTTTATGTATCAATTTTACTGGGCTACACGGTATCCAGGTATTTGGTGAGACATTATTCTGGGTGTTTCTGTAAGTGTTTTTGGATGAGGTTAACATTTAAATTGGTAGACTGAGTAAAGCAAATTGCCCTCTCTACTGTAGATAGACCTCATCTGATCATTTCAAGGCGTGAACAGAACATAAAGGCTGGCTCCTTCCCAAGTTAGAGAGAATTCTTCCTGTTTGACTGCCTTTAAACGGGGACACTGGCTTCTTCCTGCCTTCAGATTTGAACTGAAACATCAGCTCTTCCTGGGACTCAAGCTTGCTGGCCTTCAAACAGGAACTACACCATCAGTTCTCCTGGGTTTTCAGTTTGCCAGTTCACCTGCAGATCTTGGGCCTTGTCTATCTTCATAACTGCATGAGCCACTTCCTTTTAATAAATCTCTTTATGTACACGTACACACATATACCTATAGTCATGCATTGTCTAATGATGGGTATGTTCTGAGAAATATGTCCTTAGGGGATTTCATCATTATGTAAACATCACAGCACAAACCTAGATGGTATAGTCTACTATACATCAAGGTAGAGGTTGCGTAGAACTTATTGCTCCTAGGCTACAAACCTGTACAGCACACTTCTGTACTGACTACTGTAGGCAACCATAACACAATGGTAAGTATTTGTATACTGAAACCTATCTAAGGCCAGGCGTGGGATCATCTCAAGTGATCCACCCACCTCAGCTTCCAAAGTGCTACAATTATAGGCGTGAGTCACCACACCCACCCATGTGGTCTACTGTTGACCAAAACGTTGTTATATAGCATATGACTGTATATATCCTGCTGGTTTCTCCAATACAGTATGTCTTATTATTTGTGACACATACTGGCCTGGCTTAATTTGCTGGAGGCTTCTTTTCAGGAAATGTTGGGTGGGGGAGATGGAGCCCATGCTTTTTTCATGTTCCCTGTCTGGCCAGTTCCTGTGCATGGAGTTGCCCTTCTAGCTCCTGTCTAAGTCCTCCCTCCTTCTTCACAGAGGCTTCCTGACCCCTCTAGCCCACAGAGATCTCACTGTTCTCTGAACTCTACTTTAAATCATGCACTTCAGTCTTTACTCAGATATGATATTAATTGAGCCATGTGTTGGTCTAACTCCCCTAACTTTTGGCTGTCAGGGTCTGTCTTATATCTGCTTTTACAGCCTTCAGAGGTTCTGGCTCTATCATCCAGCAGGCACTCCACAGATTCCTGCTACCTGACTGAAAAGAAAAAGACACAAGAGGAAAGAGCTGCAGATGTGAGAAGTGGAGCTGAGTGTGAATAGAGGCCTAGGGAGAAGGAACACCAGAAAGGGCCTGCTGCCCTCACCTTCATCCAGCACTTCTCCGCCAGTCCGCTGTTCCCAGAGTCTCGCACTTTGAGGTAGCAGTCCACAGCACGGCTGTACTCTCCAGCCTGCTCCCAGTGTCGAGCTTGTTCCACGAGTCCCTCCACACCCCTGTGGAGATGAGAACGCTGCAACTTGGCATGGGGGTGGGGAGCAGCGTGCTCTATCCTGTGCATGCCTCATGACCCTCCCAGCCCTGCCAATGCTGCCTGGACCTCTAGCCTCATACCTGGCCCCCTTCTTAGTAGCTTCCCGCTCATACTCTTCCTGCAGAGCCTCCAGCTGGCTGGGCACATAGTCCTTGCAGATCCGCAGAGCGTCACTCCATAATCCAGCCTCCTGCTCAGATTTCCAGGTATCAAGAGGGCAGAGGCAGGCATGACAGCTTCCCACTGCCACACAGGTGCTCTGGCCCACAGACTCCTGGGTCCTTGGACCTCTCTTCTCCTTCCTCTTTCCTGTCTTTCCCACTCCCCAATACTAACCTCCCTGATCTTTCTTCATACCAGGGGTCAGTGTGGCTCTCTGTGGGCTCTCAGAACCTCTTCCCCTCCCCTCATGGCCCTGCATCCAGTGCCCCACCTTATAATAATTGAGGGCCAGGCCTGGTCTCTGGGCCCGGAGCAGCAGCCCTTCTGCTTTCTGAAAGTCCTTCTCCTCCAAGGCCCCCCGGGCCTGTCCCACAAGCACCTCGGCGACACTGTCAGGGTCGTGGGCCTCAGCCACACGCTGAGCTGCCTCCCAATCCTGGTTATGGACAAACCTGCCTCCGGATGGGGACAGAGGAGAGACTGAGTATAGGACTGAGGCCCCAGTAGTGGGAGACAAACAGCCATGTCACTGAGGGGTGTAACACTGATTTGTTCTAGGTTTGAGTGAAGGTCAAGATAATCATGAAAGATCCTGGGACTGTGACTGGGGAAACAGGATTAAGGAATGTATGGGGTAACTCACATGAGGACTGCTTCCTTGGGTTTACCAGCTCTGATGAATTCAGCTTCAGCCTCTTCGAATTTCCCCTACAGGGAGAGCAAGGCAGCCGTGCATGGTGAGAAGGAGACTGGCATCACAGGCAGGCATGAGCCTGGGGGTATGCACACCCAGGAGCAGTGCACTAGGGGATGGAGTAAGAGGGCTCTGCGGTCAGGGTCCAAGTCACACCCATACCTCATCCTCTAGGAACATAGCATATTTGAGATGAACCTCGGGGGTTTTGTGCTTGAGGGCCAGCCGAGAGAGTTCAAACGCAAATTCAAAGGAGCTGAAACAAAGTGCAGATAAGGTTTTCTTACTTCATGCTTCCATTCAAAAAAGGAACAAGACAAGACAAACCAGAAAGGACAGAGTTGAGGGGAGAAAAAGTGACAGATTTAAGGATAACGGATATGAAGTGACAGAAGAGCATAGAGAGATAAAAAGGAAGACAGGCAGGCAGCCCTGTGAAGACCACGTCACTGTCAGTGTGGATCAAGAGATGTCTGGAAAAGCCTATGCCTTCCCTGAGGCCAGCTGCTCCTGAGGAAGGAGTTTGGGCCTGCAAAGGGTAAGGAAGGAGTGAGCCTCGCAGCCCTACGCTGACAGGGCTAGGAGGACTCCTGGTGCTCACCACCTCCTCCTGAGCTCCAGCTACATTAGCAGAAATATAGTCTCTCCAAAATATGAGCAAGACCACCCTCAGCATCAGACTCCATGATTGGCATTGATACCAGTAGCTTAAGAAAAGTTCACTTTGCTCTTTTGGCTATCTTTCTGTGCCGCCACAATGGTGTGCATGAATGTCCTGGCTGATGCGCTCAAGAGCATCAACAATGCCGGAAAGAGAGGTAAATGCCAGGTCCTTATTAGGCTGTGCTCCAAAGTCATCGTCTGGTTTCTAATTGTGATGCTGAAGTATCGTAAATTGGTGATTTTGAAATCATTAATGATCACAGCTAGGAAAACTGCTGTGAACCTCACAGGCAGGCTAAACAAGTGTACAGTGATCAGCCCCAGATTTGACGTGCAACTCAGAGATCTACAAAAATGGCAGAATAATCTGCTCCCATCCTGCCAGTTTGGTTTTATTGTACTGACAACCTCAGCTGGCATCATGGACCATGAAGAAGCAAGACAACACATACGAGGGAAAATCCTGTGATTCTTTTTCTAGAGATGTAATACATATTTACAAATAAAATGCCTCATGGACTCTGGTGCTTCCAAAAAAAAGAAAAGTTCAGCCGGGTGCAGTGGCTCACGCCTGTAATCCCAGCAATTTGGGAGGCCAAGGTGGGCGGACCACTAGGTCAAGAGATCAAGACCATCCTGGCAAACATGGTGAAACCCCATCCCTACTAAAAATACAAAAATTAGCTGAGCGTGGTGGCACGTGCCTGTAGTCCCAGCTACTTGGGAGGCTGAGGCAGGAGAATCATTTGAACCAGGAGGTGGAGGTTGCAGTGAGCCAATATCATGCCACTGCACTCCAGCCTGGCAACAGAGTGAGACTCTGTCTCAAAAAAAAAAAAAAAAAGTTCACTCTGCATTTGACAGAATCACACTTCCATCACCCAGGATTAAGTTATTGGTTTAGTGCAGTCTGCAGTCCTAGCTTTACAATCTGTTTCCTCTCCACCCTTCTTAGAACAGCCAAAGGTTAAACACTGTTCTGAGTCCCTAGGGAATAGGAGCAGTTAATTTATTCATGCCACTCTATCATGTCCTTCCAAGGATCTTTCAGTTATACATCAATTTTCTTTCTCTAGATAGTGGCTCTGCCTGCGATGGGGCCCATGGAGAGAAAGCCTGGGGCCTCACCAATTGTCCGCAGCGTGGTCAACAGCAGCTTCCAGGAGTCCCAGCTTGTTAAGCAGTCTAACTGCAGCCTCTCCTCCCAGGCTCTTTGCCCACAGATAGGCCACGTGTTTGTGGGCATTAGCCCCTCCTTGAGTCCTGGCCACCTATAAAGCAAAGTCACTCAATAATCCTTCAATTCAGAGCTACTCCCTTCTTATCTCTGACCTCGGCTTTGACAAGGATCCAATAACTGTTCTAAATTGAAGAGGAAGAGGCTGGGCGTGATGGCTCATACCTATAATCCCAGCATTTTTGGAGGCCGAGGCAGGAGGATCACTTGAGGTCAGGAGTTCGAGACCAGCCTGGCCAACATAGTGAAACCCCATCTCTACTAAAAATACAAAAATTAGCTGGGCACGGTGATGACTGCCTGTAATCCCAGCTACTCGGGAGGCTGAGGCAGAAAAATTGCTTGAACCCAAGAGGTGGAGGTTGCAGTAAGCCAAGACTGTGCCACCACACTTCAGCCTGGGTGACACAGCAAGACTCTGTCTCAAAAAATGAAATAAAATAAAAAGTTAACAGGAAAAGGGCTAAATTTCAGGGTTTCTTAACTTAGGTTGAAGTACTTAGGGTCCAAGGATAGGCTTCACCTGGTCCACAGACCCTTAAAATTGTAAGTGAAATTTTCTGTATACAGATGTGGACATGGTTCTGGCAAGAGAGACTCTGATCTTCACTACATTTTCAAAGATGCGCTGACCAATTGTGAATTAGTCACTTAAAGTGGAAAAGAAGGGCTGGGCATGGTAGCTCATAGCTGTAATCCCAACACTTTGGGAGGCCAAGGCAGGTGGATCACTTGAGCCCAGGAGTTCAAGACCAGCTTGGGCAACATGGTGAAAACCTGTCTCTACAAAAAAATTAAAAAATTAGCCAGCTGTGGTGGTGCACACCTGTAGTCCCAGCTACTCAGGATGTTGAGGTGGGAGGATCGATTGCTTAAGCCCAGGAGGTCAAGGCTGCAGTGAGCCATAACTGCACCACTGCACTCCAGCCTGGGTGACAGAGTGAGACCCTTTCTGAAAAAAAAGGGAAAAAATGTGGGAAAGAAGGATGGATGTATCTCTCAGCATGGCCTGAACTCCTTACCCGGTAGGCCTCTTCCCAAAGCCCATTGGCCCGGTACATGTTCACTGTTGCCTTCCATTCCTGGGCCTCGAGGTAGTGGTACTCGGCCTCCTGTAGTCGGCCTTCAGCCTCCAGCTCCTGCAGGAATGTGAGTCAGGATGGAGAGATGGGGAGATGGAGCCTGGTTGGGGAAGAGATAGGTAGAGCCAGGAGAAGGGCTCACCTTGCCCAGATGTAGGTGTGTGTCACTGAGGAGATCTGGATGGTGCTTCCCTACCAGGCGGATCATGTCATCATACAACTTGTGCTTTTTGTACATGGTGATGGCGAGATCAGGCTCTTCTACTGTCACATATAGCCTGGGGAAGGGAGATACATCTGGGGCCTCCTAGACCCGATCCCTGCTGTCACTGCCTTCTGGGCAGAAGGTACACATCCTCAGGCCCCATCCCTCCTCCCAGCCTTGAAATCTCATCTCCCACTACACCTCCTCTGAGGCCACGGCTCACCTTTCAGCCTCACGGTACTTGCCCTGCTTCTCCATTTCCTGGGCCTGAGTGATGTATAACACTGATACATCTTCTGGTCTCATGCATTTCATCGCCAGCTGTGGAGGCACAGAGGCAGGGCAGCCTCAGGTCCAATTCCCCAGGGAAGCAGGGCTTCAAGGAAACCTGCTTGTTCAGAAGCTCTGAACTCTCCCAGCAATCACAGGAGTTTGGTT